TCCTCAGGACTCCTCCTTGCAAGTGAGAGCCTACTCCCAGGGTGCAGCGGGAAAGCAGGCATTAGGCATTGTTTCTGTGCAGTGGGGCGGGGGAAGGGACCAGGGGTGGTGGTGGTGGACAGGTCCTCCCAGAGCTGTCAAGGAAACACTGGCTTTATGAAAATGACCTCAAATACCTAATGGGCAGGGGTGGTCTCTGCTGGAAATCTGAAGGGGAAGAGAAGGAAGAGAGGTGTCTGCCAAGGGTGGGGGGACAGGCGTGAAAAACAGAGGAGCCTGAGACTAGAGGGAGGAGGGAGAGGTAGAGGAGGAGACTCCAGGCTTGTGGCTCTGTGACAAGGGAGGTTTCAGATGGAAGCCTAGAGGTCTCGTACAAGCTGGGAGATGGGCAGAGGTACAGGAGGGAGTAGAGGACCTCCGAGTGTGGCCAGGGGCTTTTAGAATGGAAGCAGCAGGCTCAGAGGGTGGCCCACGGCCCCACTCCAAGAAAGGCAGCCACAACACTTCACTGGACCCTGACAATTCAGGGTCTGCTCAGCGTCCTGACGGCCACTTGGCACTCCAATGAGAGTCATCCAGCAGGGCCACTGACCCTGTCCCCACAGGCAGCTGTCCAGACCTCTGCCCCTGACCTCAGGGCAGCAGCTTTTACAACCTCAGCTTCTGCTGTTGCTGAGAGCTGGCTGAGCACCCTGACTCTTCATCATTGGGACAAGTGGGCACCTGTCCTTTCATACTCTGACTCACCAGACACCTATCAAATCTGCCATTGACAAGTAAGAGAGTGAGCCTGCTGGTCCCCAGATAACAGGATGGCTTTTAGGAAGGGCACTGGGTGAAGCTTCACACACTTGCCTGTCAATGGGCTGTAAACTATCAGAAGAAATTAAAAACTCAAGTAATAGTGCAGTGTGAAGCATGACAATAAACTCAAGAGTTGATGGAAAAAAGAAAATAAGAAAAAGACAAGATCATCTTTGAAACAGATCAGTGACAAAGAGACCAAGTGGGGAAAGTTTAGGCTGAAGGCCGAGAAGAGCTATTGAGGGGAGAAATGAGACAGGTAACGGAAAGAAGAGGAAATGGCAGAAAGAGGTAAAAATAATCATAGCAACCTAGAACACAAGCAAACAAAATCTAGCATATGTATGACCGAAGTCTCTGAAGGAGAAAAAGGACTAATATTGAACATCCTGATCCAAGGACCATCCCCTAAAGAAAAGTTCTGGCCTCATATATTTTAAGAGCCGACTATGAACTTGGGAAAACTAACCTGGAAGTCAACTCAGTATCTGATGGGGGTGGAGCTAGCCACATCGCGGACCAAAGACATCCTACAGTAGATATAACACCAATAGTGGGAGAACACAGCGCTATTTTCAAACAGTGGAAGGCTACTGTGTGAAAGGGTTTGCTTTACACGGCTTCCTGAAGGCCAACTTGGAATTGGGTAAGAGCAGTGAAAGAGTAAAACTTGAGCTCCCATGGGAAAGAGGAAACCCGCTGTGGGTGTCCAGTAAGGTCAGTGCCTCGCAAGAGACCCAGAGAGAGGCTCTGGGCCACATGAAAAGTAGATCTTTGGCTCCTAATCCTTGGCTTGGTGCTTAAACACAGCCAGCTTATTTTTAAAAGTAGAGCCAGGCCTTAAGGATCCTTGGGGAATTTTGATTATTTAGGATAGGGTTCCTCAACTTCTACTTTCCTTAAACATTTTTATTGAGATATAATGTATATGCCATAAAATTATCCTATTAAAGTCTACATACATCACAATAACTAAAGACATTCTCATCACCCCCAAATAGACCTTGTGTCCATTACCAGTACCTACCCCTAACCTCACCCGCTCTCTGGCTTCGCCTACTACTATTTCACTGCCATTGAGTTGATTCTGACTCCTATCGACCCTGTGGGACAGGGTAGAACTGCCCCTGTGGGATTCTGAGACTGTGACTCTTCAGGGGAGTAGAAAGTCTCCTCTGTCGCCCCTGGAGTGGCTGGAGGTTTCACACTGCTGACCTTGCAGTTAGCAGCCCAAACAGGTAACAGTGGTATCACTGGGGCTCCATGTTAGACAACCGCTAGTCTACTTTCTGTCGCTTTGGATTTGTCAGTCGTTCGTAGATGTCCTCAAGTCGATTCCAACGCACGGTGACCCTGTGCAGAACAGAACAAAGCACTGCCTAGTTCTGTGCCGCCTTCATGGTTGTCATGTTGGAGGCCGCTGCGGAGCTCCTGTGCCAGTCCGTCTGGTTGAAGGTCTTTTTTTTCCCTTTCCGAACCACCACTTTACCATGAATAATGTTCTTTCCAGGGATGGACAGACTGCCACGGAGTCGATGCCAACTCAGAATGACCATATAGGACAGACTCGAACTGTCCCTGTTCATTTCTGAGATTATAACTGTTTCTAAGAGTGGAAAGTCCCTGCCGTCTCTTGTTCCAGGGACTAGTCCTTCCTATTAACATGTCAAAAAGTATAGAAGTTATAAAATCTCATAATCCTCACTTCTACATTCTGGCTACTTCTGAGACAGATTTGCTCATTCTTCTGCCGGTCCATGACCTATTAAATTTTATTCACCAACATAATTCAAGTACATCCTTTGGTCCTCTTTATTTCTTGTTCAGCTTTCACCTACACAGGAGACTGAAAATACCTTGAGTAAAGAGCACCTTCGTCCTTAATACGACATCATTGCGTGTTTAAGGCAAAGTCGCCTCCCCCTTTTTTTAACGTTGCCCTTTTAACATTTTAAGAGGTATTTTGCAGCAGATACGCTCTCTTGACTGCTTCTTCCAAGGAAGTGGATTGTGGATACGACTATGTTAGTCTTTTCCTCGTTTATCATGATGTAGTTTATTTTTGTTTTACCTTGAGGTGTAATCCATAATGAGGGCGGTTGTCTTTGACGCTCAGCCCAAGTGCTTCAGGGCCTCTGCACTGCCAGTCAGTGCGGGCCTGCCACCTGCATATCGCAGGCTATGAATGAGTTTTCCTCCAATTCTGATGCCACTTTCTTTCTTCATATAGTCGTTTCTTGGATTATTTGCTCAGGCCCTGACATACACCTTTCCTGAATTTAACCCATTCAGTATTCCCTTGTTCTGTTCCCCTAACTGACTCTTGGTGTATATACAGGTTCTGCACGAGCATAATTGTTCTAGAATTGCCATTTTCCACTATGCTGTCAATGGTATGTTATGATCCTCATAGTCAAATGCCTTTGCAGTCAATAAAAAAACAAGTACCATATATACTTGTGTATAAGCCGTGTTTTCGGCACATTTTTAATGCAGTTTTTATGGTAAAATTAGGTGTCTCGACTGATGTTCAGGTTGGCTTATACTTGAGTATATAGGTAAACATTTTTCTGGTATTCTCGGCTTTTGGTCAAGATCTGACATCAACAATATCCTTCCTTCCATGTCATCTTCTGAATCCAATTTGACTATCTGGCAGTTCCTTGTGAATATACTACTGCAAACTACTTGTTGCATGTGATATTGGCATTCTTGGTTAATTTCAGTTTTCTAATAGGTCACCTTTCGTTGGAATGGGAACTGATATAGACCTATTACAGTTGGTTGGCCAGATAGACATTTTCCAAATTTCTTGGTATAAATAAACATTGCCAGCATGGCATGAGTTTGTTGAAACATTTCCATTTGTATTCCACTGTTGAAGCATTCCAGTTTGTAGCCCTTGATTCATGTCCTAGAGCCCTGTTTGCTGCCAGTGCGTTCGGTGTACCGTGGCTGTCTTCCTTCAGCACCACTGGTTCTTGCTCATAAGCGACCTCTTGAAATGGTGGAAAGCTGACGGATTCTCTTTGGCATTGTGACTCTGTATCCCTTTCATCTTCTCTTGATGCTTCCTTCATTATCAGTATCACAACACGAACCTTGAATCTCCTCTCCAAGTCTTTCAGAACGAAATGTGCTGACCACATTCTTCCTTTTTAACCCCAGGTCTTTGGACATTTCATTATAATGCTTTACTTTGTCTTCTTGAGCTGCCCTTTGGAATTTTCTGCTCGACTTTAGTTTACTTCATTGTCTCTTCCATTGCTTCAGCTACTCTATGTTCAAGAGACAGTTTCAGAGTCTCTTCTGACATCCATTTTGATCTTTGCTCTATTTGCTGTCTCTACAACGACCTTTTTCTTTCTTCATATCTGGAGCTCTTCATATCCTACCACAACTCCTTTCGTTCATTTAGTAGTGCTCAGTCCCTCAAATCTAGTCCCGAGATGGTCTCTAAATGTGAGTGGGTTATACTCAAGGTTATAATGGCTCTTGTGGACTTATTATTATTATTTTTTAAATTCAGCTTCTACCTGAACTTGCATATGAACAATTGATTGACTTGTCCAAAGTTGACACTGGTCTTGTTTGGGCTGATGATAATTGCGTTTCTCCATCATCTCTTTCTACAGAGATAGTTAATTTAATTCCTGAGGATGCTAGTTGGCAAGATCCATGTGTATAGTCACCATTTATGTTGTTTTGGTCTTTATAATGAAGAAGTAGTTGCAATCATCAGCATCGTTTCTGTACTTGGGTCATCGTTTCCAAATACTGATCCTTTTTCCCTTCCTTTCCAACATTAAAATTTGAATGGCCAGTAATTATCAACGCATCTTAATTGCACTTGCTTCTAGACCCTGCATTCTAAAATACACTTTTAGGTGATTCTGATTCATCAGCTCCATGGTCTGGCATTAGAGAACCATTGTACTACACCAGTGTTCCGTAAAGTGCTTTCAACTCCCTGAGGGGAGTAAAACCAGAGACCTACACTTCATCCTGTACTATGGTTTACAGTACAAAAGGTTTCCATCCTGTACTATGGTTTACAGTACAAAAGGTTTCAGTTGGGAGGGGGCACTGAGTTTATTTTTTGGTTCTGTTTTTCTCCTGAAAAGGGGCTGTAGGCCAAATAAGTAAATAAGTTTGGGAACCTAATGGATGAGACTCTTCTATGATCCTTTCCCATCTAAGATTCTTTAGCACAGGATAATAAATGCTGGCAGACCCTGGATAACAGACACTTTGCTGTGCTGGGGTTATGAAAGGGCTAAGATATAACCTGGTGTCCATGTGAAAAGCAGAAATGTAAACTTTAATACAACTGAAAAGTGACACAATTGCACATGCCTAGAAAGGGATCTACGGCAGCAGCTGGGGAAGCTACTAAGAGAAGGGACTACATGCCCTGGGTTTGGGAGATAAGAAGCAGCTGTGAGATAAGCAGTAGTTGGTAAAGCAGAATTACCTCATGGAGATTGATTGACACGATGGCTGAGACCAGGGGCTCAAACAATTGTGAGGATGGTGCAGGGCTGGGCAATGTTTTGTACACAGGGTTGCATGAGCTGGAATTGATGCAATGGTGCTGAACAACAAGAAACACCCTTTTATTACTGAGGGCTTACTAAGTATTGGCACTCTGCTAACGCCTGGCCGTGTACCACCTCACTTGTTTTTCCACACGGCCGTAGGGGTGGCTATAATGCTGTCATCCTTGAGATGTAGAAGGCCAGAAGGCCTTCAGTAGTTAGATGGAGAGCTTAGACTGGCCCCTAAGTGCACGCCCTGATCCTCCAAACTGCTGTATAAAATGACAGAGGAACTCCTAGGGTGGGGTCCTTTTAGACCTACAGGTTTAAACTGGGCGGTTCTCTGAGGCCTTCCTCCGAGATTACCTTGAGCTCCGGGTAGCTGAGCACCACCAGGGAGGCACAGGCGTTGACACTGTCCCCTTTCACAAAGGACACGTCCACGCCCCCGACCCTCTGAAGACCAGAGAAGTCCGGGTTCCGCTGCCACGCCTCCGTGTCCCAGTCTACGACGCGGGCCTTTAGCCGGGCTTGCTCCCTAACAGGGGTGGAGGAGATACCCGTCAGGCTGCGCCCTGAATCCCCCGTTCCAGGCCCTCCACCCCAGCAGGGTGCCTCTTTTCTGCCCCTGACATTCGGAGGAGCCATCCGCCCAGAGTAAACCAGTCCCGGGTATGGGGGCCTTGGGGGATCTCTCCTGGGGACCCAGTCCGGCTCGAGTCGCCCGGGTCCCGCAGAGGGCGTGAGGGCAACAGGTGATTCCGGAAACCAGGAGGATCCTGGGCACTGGAACAGGTGGACGGCAGGGAGAGACTGCCCACTAGGAGGACTACAACTCCCGAAAGCCCTTAGCCCGCTCCTGGAAACTGGCCCGAGTGCAAGGCACGACCTGGGGAGCGCCCCTGTACCCGGTTTTCCTATTCTGTCCTTGGGGGTTGCTAGCAGTCGAAATCAGTTTGGTTTGGATTCGGCCTGGTAAGGAGACGAACCCTGGTGAGGAGCGCCCGACCCAGAAAACTACAACTCCCGAAAGGCAGCCCGGCCCCGGCGGCTCGTAAACCCGGCGAGGCTCCGCGGTCGGAGGGCCCTAGGAGAGCCGCCTCACTTCCCTCTGCAGTCAGATCCGGCTTCCATCCTCATTACCGTTTCCAGAGAGACAAGGTCTCCTCAGGCGGCGCCCCGGCGCCCGGAGCAGCCATAGCGCAGCCTCGGTGCTCCTTCCGGGACGTCACTTCCGGAGCCGTCTTGCGCAGGCGCCGTGTCTCGCGCGGCTTCGCGGCGCTGTCGGCGGCTGAGGCAGCTGTGGCCGCCAGGTGTCGCCCCCGGCCAGTCCGACCTCGGGCCCCAGCGTTGGTCTCGCGGGGCCGGTCGGTCCGCCGCGCCTCGCGTGGTCGGCCGCGCCCCCTCAGCCCCTGGAGACCCGGCCGTCCCACGCACAGCCACAGACCGACGTCGAGGGCGCTCCTCGGGTGGCGCTGGCGAATCCCGGCGTCCGCTGCTCCCGCCCGCCTGTGCGCAGGTGAGAGGCCAAAGCGGTCGCGTGAGCACCGAGGACTTGTCCCGGTGGCGCTGTCCACTCCCTGTGACCTGACGGGGTTCTGTGCCCTCACAGCATCGAGCACCTCCGGCCCTGAATGGCCACTCGCTGT